AACCTTCCGCACAGCAACTTCAGCTTCAATCAGAAGAGTATCATTCACCAAATATCCACGAGTGGGATCATAGAGGTCGCTGAGAGGCATGAATGATGTAAACCCCCAATCGCTTTCTCTCGCATTGAATTGATGTTGAGTCTCTGCAGCCATACAAAAAAGAGTGTTCATCTAACTCATGCAGTAAGAGTCTTACACATAAGAACAAAATTAATCAATTAAAACACACCTTTCCTGATGGAATATTTGCTGCTGATTTGGTTCACTACAGCCAAGCTGAACTGTGAATATCTGCTCCACCCGTAAGGTAAACTCCCAGCGTCAGCAACATCCAAGTACATGGACAAATGGTCAACATTGTTTCCTTTAGGAAAAATCAATATTCTCCTGAAATGATCAATACACAAAAAATAATTCACATCAGAAAATCAATTAAAAAAATGAATCAAACAAGAGTAGTGTAGAACCTATTACCATTTATAACCTCCAACAACAAATACATCAGAGTAAAGCTTCCTAACATTAAGCCTGCTGAACCCTTGGGTAGACCACGTGAATTTCAGAGTAGGAATCTCCTCAGCTGGTGGATTCTCCACAGTAGTAACAGCAGCAGCAGCCTCAGGCTGAGAAACTACAAAGAAAGCCAAAAAAAAATTACAAAAACCCTAGCAAACAGTGATACATCATCTTCTACCCTCAAAAACTATACACAAGTGTTAAACAACATCTGCACAATCCAATCAGAGGATTACAAGTAGCAGATCGAACCCGAGACCTTTACCTTCCATAGGCTGAGGCCCTTCGACCACATCAGAATGCGGAACGAGCATCTCCTCGTCCTCTTGCTGCTGTAAATCAAATCAAAAGAATCAAAATCAGAATTCTAAACTCATATAAACCCTAATTTCACAACCCCGTGATCATCTAAGCGAAGGGAACGAAGAAACCTAAAAGCAGATTAAGGTGAAATACGAAAGGTTAATCGGTGATTACATCTAGTGGCGGAGGAGTCATCAAAGTCATTTCTCTGAGAGAGGGATTGAACGGTGGGATGGAGAAGTGAGAAAGAGCGCCGAATAGAGAGAAATAATCAGAGGGAGAAGTGAAGAGGAGATCAATCTCTATACTCTTTTCTCGCTTTTCTAATTGGGTAATTACGATAGTTTCACAAAGTTTGGGGTTTATTTTGTGATTATGAATCTTTCTGCGGGTTTGGATTTATATATTCCTCTGAAGGTTACGTCACCGGCTAATGAGAGCTCTCCACGTGTCTTGACTGTCCTCGTAACCGTCAATGTGACATTGCTTTAAAGTGTCCGAAGAATTGTTATTGTTTGGTCTGAGCTAAATGTTTTTAGTTTTAATTTCTTGCGGATATCAGTTTTTTTAATATAAATTGATATTTATTTTTAGTGATTAGAATTATATATTGATGTAACACTATATAACTAATTTTATATTAGTTATTTGAATATTTTTGGATTCTTCTTAATACCTAGCCATATAGACTAATTAAAATTCAAAACCTGATATTTGAAATAAACGATTCGTATCCGAATAGATACATTACTAACCATTTCTAACTGATTTTGTAAATAGATAATAAAAAAACTTTTTGTTAATTATTTTGAATTCTTGTTTTAAATGGAACAATTTCATTCAATCTTGTCGAATTGTTATGTTTAAAATAAATTATATAAAATTATTTTGTTAAAGACAATTAATAAAATAGTTGAGAGAAGTGAACAAATAAATGTAAAAGATAAAACACTTAAATATAGGTAATTACTCCCTATGTTTCAATTTACTTGTTATTTTAGGTTTTTGCACAAAATTAATAAAACATTAAATTTTACATATTTTTTATACAAAAATACCATTACTAATAAATCTAACCACATTTCAACCAATAGCTAAATTTTTTTAGTTTTAATTTCAATCTATGATCATAAAAATTACTAATTATGTTTTATTTAATTTTAAATTTAAAATAAAAAGATGTACAGCGTTTTAAAAACAAAAATACTAATGTATAAATACCTTTCTTTTTATTTTTTCTCTTTTTATTTTTACACCAAAAAAATACAAACTAAATTGTTTTTTTAATTACAAACTAAATTTTATAGTGTAATTTATACACTTATATTCCAACCAATTATTCACATTATTCCAAATGATTAAAATTAGGTATACAGAAATACAGATGTTTTAAGTTTTAGGCAAATACATACAATATTTAATAACTTAGATTTTGTATATTCATGTCACTATACTATTTGTGATTAATATGCCAACAATAGTAGGATACAGATACACCTTCATTTATAATTTTTGTACTTTTTTACAAAACATCCAACTTTTATTTGTCACCCTGACATGTATTGAAAAGTATATACTATCCTTTTTTTTTAACACAACTTTCTTTCATTAACTTCAACTTGCCTGACTACAAATGCTAGAGGGAATTATCCATCCTCTTTGATTAAAAAAATAAACTACAACAACATAACATATAATGGATAGGTCTTCAAATGAAGAGGATGACAGCGAACTCAAGACGATGCTTGAATGCGTCAATGTAGCCTTCACGACATAGTCGGACAGCAGAGAAATAGTCACCTTAAATTGTGACGTTAACACCCAATCCGCACCTCGGAGTATCGTCGAAACGAAGTCTGCTGCATCTCCAGGCCCCGAACGGACCGCTACGCAAGATATCAAGACGGTTATAGATATGGGTGGACACTTCCATTTAACGTTTGGAAGGAAAACACTCCTTAAAAAGGAGGTAGTGGATAAAATGGTTCTCTTCTCCAAAGAGAATAAGGTGAACGTTGATGAAGATGATCCTGATAAACTCTTCGCATAAGAGAGATAAGATGTATGTAGAACTGCTTCGGTAAAGATTTCAGTGACACCACCAAAATTCTTTAGACAATTAATGAAAGCTATTAACAACTTCCATAAAAATACAACATGTGAAATCATTAGGCTGGACAAATAGTTAAGCACTATTGGGCTCACCAAGCCCAATCTCAATATATGAAGGTCCAGCCCAAGAGAAATAGAAACATGACCTTGTCGGGATATTACGAGTACGACGGAGGAAGCACGGTGGCGGAAGGGAAGCTTCGGCGAGAGGACATGGGAAGCAGGCGGCGGAGATGGCGACAGATCTGGCTGGTGAGGCGCAGTTCCGTTTAGATAACAGGCTTCGACCCCAGAACGGGATGTATATTCGTCGTAAGATAAATAGATGTAGCAGGAAAGCAACATTAATGAAGAACGGCGACTGTAACCGGCAAGAAACTCGACGGGTTGGGGAATCCCCCAGAAAAAGTTCAGTCCAGTAGTAATAGATCCGTAAAGAGACATACAAAAGCTTCGACTCACAACAGCAAGCTTTCTCCAAAGAGATACACTGGCGTGAGCAGAGAGGTTGACAAAGGCAGAAAACCAGATCGGCGACCTCGAAAATCCGGTGGAGACAACAGAGAGGAGCGGAAGACGAACAAAGCTATAGAAGAAGGCTCGACGCCGGCGGCCAGAGGCCTCACCGACGTCGAGATGTGGCGGCTGCAAGTGTGCTTCGATTCTCGTGTCTGAGAGGTTTTAGGGCGAACTCTTTTTTCTATATGTTTGGTGCTTCTTAACCTTATTATGCCCAATACCATCAAAGTATATACTATCCATTGCTTAAGATTTTCAATTTAAAAAAAAAAAGATTTTCAAATTGAAATAAATTTTGCTAAAAAGCTACATTTGAACTTAATCTAAAATTTTTTTTTGCCAATATTGTCACATGGGAAGCACAAGCCCATGCATGTAAATCCAATGATGAAGAAATTTAGTTTGAATTATTAAAGTTGCTTTCTATATGGTTCTTACGTACCAATAGTAACTCCAAAATGTCTTTGCGCTCGTCTTTTTTCTAGTTGATAGGCAAGATTGTTATTACTTTATCTTCTTTTTCTTATTTCCTTCAATCATCCTTTGATATTTCAGTCGTTTTTCAGGCCATGGATTTTTTTTCCAGTCCGTTGTTTTGTATTGGGCTATTATTGGCATATACTTTAACTTCATCGATGATTACAATGTACAAGAGTGACAACACAATTACGTAACTATATTTTACTTCATCAACATTTTATCGTATGTCTTTTATTTCATAATCTTTTCTGATAAAGACAAGCCTATTATTTCAAGGTGGTTACTCTTACTGGTACTATAGGAAGGAAGATATATAGGGTAGACTTTTTTAAGCACATTCCTCTTACATATTTATTGTTTTTCATTTTAGTCCGTCAGTGGCTCTTCCTTAGAACAATTTAATTGAGCTCATACAAGTTCTCAAAATATATATTTTTAAAAATGTGAATAACTAGATTAAGTATCTCAAAATGATGAGAATTCATACCGAAGTATCTCAATTAAAATGATCATAGTCTTATATATTTATACATATATGTATTAAGATGTTGAGAACTAAACAGTGAAAGTTCTCTTAACATTCTATTTCAAACACAATCCTTACGTGTTCATGGAAAGACAAGTACTGACTACTGAGTTTAGAAAACTCATCAGAATGTTAATCTGAGCAAGAATAATCAATTTAAATAAAAATCTTGTTATAATTTTGACTTCTATCTCAAACAGAATAAATAGTTAAGACTTTTTTGTTTGATGTGGTGTTAAAATTAATTGCTACAGTTTTCTCCTTTAAGTGATTTGTTCTGTTCTGAAGTGTTCTCCATTTAAAATCATGGTCCACTCTCGGTTTGGATGATTTAATATGGTTTTTGTTTGCTTTACTACAAACCATCATAAAAATTAATTAATCACATTGATTTTTGACTAAGTAAACATAAAATTTTGTCAAGTTTATAAAGTGAGTTAATGCATATCTTGACTAATAGAGATATGCATGTATGATGTAACTAACTTCAAAATTGTTGAAAATCTATTTATACTCTTTTACATTTTAACATTTTCAAACCATCAAGTCCCCTCAGATTAAGAAAAAAAAAAAAAAAAATCTCTCGGAAACAAGAATTCAAAAGTTGCACCACCCTCTCTTCAGATTCGATGAAGGAAACCTCAATCAACGGTCGATGCCTCGAGAAGACTCTCCCGCCTCATCCCCACCTACCGAAACCCCTGCCGCCACGTGGCGTCCGCGTCTCCTCAGAAGAATCCACGCATCATCATCAGTCATCAATATCGCCACAGAAATTCGATATGATGAAACTCATCCGCCAAAGCGGTAACGCGATCTCCAAACACCTCTCGAATCTACACGAAAACGACGACGTTTTCTCGAAGAATCTCTCTGACGTGACGGAGTTTAAAATCTCCGGAGTCAAGATTCTCGTGAAACTCAAAACCGAAGAAGAGATCAAAGGCAAAATCACTCTCTTCTCGAGATCTAACTGCCGAGACTCCACAGCCGTCAGATCGTTTCTCCGCGACCGTGGATTCGATTTCTCCGAGATCAACGTCGACGTCTACACGCACAGAGAGCACGAGCTGATCGAGAGGACAGGGAGCTCCCAAGTCCCTCAGATATTCTTCAACGAGAAACACTTCGGAGGACTCACGGCGTTGAACTCGTTGCGAAACAGCGGAGGAGGAGAGTTCGATCGGAGGATCAAGGAGTTGCTCGCGGAGAAGTGTTGCGGCGATGACGCGCCGTCGCCGGTGATTTACGGATTCGACGACGAGGAGGTTGTTGGTGATGATGAGATGATGAGTTTCGTTAGGGTTTTGAGACAGAAGCTACCGATTAAGGATCGGTTGATGAAGATGAAGATCGTTAAGAACTGTTTCTCCGGCGCGGAGATGGTTGAGGTATTGATTCATCACTTGGATTGCGGGAGGAAGCAGGTACGATTGTTTTTTTTCAAATTTTTTTAATCGTGTGTTACGCACGTATGGTATCATTACGTAGACACTACTAGTTAAGTCGAATCTAAAACAATATTATTTTTTTTTCAAAAAAGAAATAATAGGGTCAGTATCTATAGAATGTCAACGAAATATTAGTATATGATTTATTTTAGTTTTGAGTACACTTGGATATTCTATTTGGGCACTAAATTCCAAACAACATGCCAATAAAATTTTCATTGTTTGTTTTTAATTAGAATGATTAAATTTATTACTCCCTCCATTTCATATTTATTTCATATTAAGTGCCGTTTTAGAGAAAAAATTATGTTACAAATTAAGTGTTGTTTTGGGTTTTCAATGCAAAATTTATCAATTTTATTCTGTAATTAAATTTTCTATTGGTTGAAATAAGGTTATGTGTATAGGTAACTGTGTTTTATATGGAAAATATGCAAAATTTCTTGTTTTTTTAATTCGTGTGCTGAATTCTAAAACAACACTTATTATGAAACGGAAAGAATATTTTATTTTGTTTTAAGACTAGAAAATTATTACAACGTAGGTAGCCCGTTGTCTACAAACATGAAAATACAATGTTATATTTTGTTTTAAATTATTACAACGTAGGTAGCTCACAACGAGCTCACAATGTACAATGTAACAATGTTATATTTTGTTACATTGCTTGTGCATCAGTACAAACATGTGAGCTCGTGAAGTATAACATTGCGAGTTACCATGCAATGTATTTTCTAGATAACAAAATAGTCAGAGAAAAATGTTCACTATAGGTCAGAGAAACTTTGAACACAATAGGTAGATTACTTATTGGTATAATTGGTTATGACTTTGAAAGATATTACTAGTTATACCTTCATAGACATTTGTTTAAATTGGGATGTTTCTTCTAGAACAAGTATTTGGGTTTGTCCAAATCTGATGATATGAATTATTCAAATCATCTTTAGTTAAAATTATCTGAATAACCATACCTACACCTAGTATCGATTCCTAATCATATAAATAACCTTAATAGAGACTGTGATAATACTACCTAAAATGTTGGTATCCTTGTATAAAACTTTGATTATTTTTTCTTAAATAATAATACATTGCACGTCTGCATAATTCTTTATGATTTAGTTTTCTCAAACCTTGTTTGTTCGATTTTATATATGCAGGCCGTCGAAATTGGCAAGAAACTAGCCAAGAAACACTTTATCCACCATGTCTTTGGGTACATATGAATCTTCTTCTTCCTTTTTTGTTTTATAATGGATTTCACATATATATTATTCTGCTTTGAACTTTTCTTTGTTTTTTTTAAATTCTAGAGAACATGACTTTGAAGACGGAAGCCATTACTACCGTTTCCTTGAGCACGAGCCATTTATTTCAAACTGTTATAATTTTAGAGGCTCTACAAATGACATGGAGCCCCAAGATGCAGTCACGGTTGGGCAGAAGCTATTCAAAATCATGACTGCTATTCTCGAGTCTTATTCCTCTGATGACCGTTCTCGTGTTGATTACATGAGAATCAGTCAGAGCGAAGAATTTCGGAGGTACATATTTAAATTTGTTGGTTTAAATATTATTTTATATAAAAATATATTATTATTTTCCAGGAAAAAAATCTTAGTCATGTCTCTAGTTTTGCATTTTTGGTCTTTCAGATAAAAAAAACACATTTTAATGTATTAAAGTGTGGTTAGATTATTTGTACAGTACAGTTTGTAATTATTGAAATGATTAGATTATTTATACAATAGAGTTCGTATTTATTTAACTGATTCTATTTTTTTATTTTGCCTTCCGGATGGATGAAGGTACTTGAATTTGGCTCAAGATCTACAACGGCTGAATCTTCTCGAACTCTCAACAGAGGAGAAATTAGCATTTTTCTTGAACTTGTACAACGCAATGGTGATCCATGCTTTGATCAGAATAGGACGTTCCGATGGAATGATCACAAGAAGATTATTCTTCACCGATTTTCAGTACGTCGTAGGAGGCTACTCTTATTCCCTTAACTCCATAAGAAACAACATCCTTCGTGGTGGTCATAGAAAGTTATATCCATTTATCAAACCGTTTATCAGAGGCAACACACATCATGAGGTAATGGTTATGAGATTGTATATATAGATTGTTTTCGGCTTGATATAATCTCGTTTTTATATAATGGCAGCTTGGTCTTCAAAAACCGAACCCACTAGTACATTTTGGGCTTTGTGATGGGGCCAAATCAAGTCCAGTGGTGAGGTTTTTCACACCGCAAGGAGTTGAAGCTCAGCTAAAACGAGCAGCTAGAGAATTTTTCCGAAACGGTGGAATTGAGGTTGTTTTGGACAAGAGAGTGGTTCATCTATCGAGAATCATCAAGTGGTAATTAATCTGCTCAACCGTCAAAGACTTTCATAATTGTGAAATTATAAACTGTTTAATATGCTTTTGTTGTGGTAAATGAATAGGTATAAGGATGATTTCAGTGAGGAGAAGAAATTGTTGAAGTGGATAATGAGTTATGTAGATGCAAACATAGCAGGTCTTTTAACCCATCTTCTTGGTGAGGATGGAGGAGGTTCTGTTCACATCGTCTACCAAGACTATGATTGGTCTATCAACAGTTGAAACTAGTATTTAACTAATTAATGATCCATATCATTGATATTTTGTATTGAACTCATCTGTTTTGATTATCTCTTCATGTTGGCAAAGAACTATTTAAAAATTTTGTACAAATCAGTTTAGTTTATTAGACTAGATGGCGATGAACACTATATAGATGATACAATGATGCTATAATCACAAGCAATCTATACTATTAAAAGAAAAAACCATTCGGATAATGTCTTGTGAATTATCATCACCTAATGGTCCTATGGACTACTTGGCCACTTCTTTATGTGGTTGGAATAGATAAGAAGCAGTTTCTTCCTCTGGACCAGCGCAGGAAAGGTGTAGAGGCCTTCCTCTTGCTTTTTTCCTTTTCTTGCGTTTGCTCACTTTTTACTATCTTTAGTATTAAAGTCTTCCCTTTAAGCTAGGTCGAGAACAGTTATGTAATCTACATAATTTTTTTTTTTTTTTGCACTACATAATCATTTTAAGCAATTAAAATAGTTAATGTAATTCTAATTATTCTTTCTCTTTACTGATGTGGTTTACTCAAATTTAATAAATAGGGGGTGAAGGGGGTTTTAGATGCAATTAGTAAATATTAGTTGGATAAATAGATTGAGAAAGAAGAATATTGTAGCTCACATGTTTCCACGCAGACTTGATGTTTAACCATCACAAATAGAGTTACGAAACTCTCTAACACGATCCTCATGGGTACATTCCAAGTATTCTATAATATATTCCCCTACCACTTCAATTTATTTAACAAAATAATCTAGATAATAAAAATACATTACTAATATACTAGCATAATCATTTATTCAACCTTTCTTTATTAAAAACACAATCTCAAGTTTAGATTATACATGTCTAACTGATTGGTCAGTTAATTCATGTAACAGATTATGTTGGCCACTTAATTAACAATCGTGATTGCATAATCACCTAAACAAAACTAGTACCGTAATAAAAAAACATAAATACATTTTATACTGCATACTACTTAGTAGGCTTAGGCGTTTCGAGTATCGGTTTTGTTGGGTTCGGGTATTTCGGGTAGTTCGGGTAAGGAGTTAGAGGATCCATCTACTACTTGACCTATTTTCGGTTGGTTCGGTTCGGATAGTTTTGGGTTAAGATATTAAAACTATGAACCAGAAAACACCTGGAAAATTCGGTTCTCATTTGGTTCTGGTTCGAGTAAATTATCGGTTATTTAAGATAAAATATCAAATAATTAGAACGATTCAGATACAAATTTTGGATATTTCGGATAAAATTATTTGTAGTTCGGATACTCTATAATTATTTAGTTATCTTCAACTATTTTTGGATACTTTAATAAAATGTTAAATTACAATCATATATTTAGTTATGTTATATGTATATAAAATTAATATTATTATATATTCAGATATCCGTTCGGTTCCGATTCGGTTCGGTTATTTCAGATATATAAATACAAAAACCGTTCAGATATTTGAGGATCTCGGTTTGATTTCGATTTCGGATATTTCGATTCGGTTCTTCGGTTCCGATTTTTTTGCCCAGGCCTACTACTTAGATTTCATACCAAATTTGATATTTAAGCATTGTAAGTGATCCACTACATATCCATTTAACAAAAATCATGTTTTATGTGAAGAGTTATGATCAATCAAGTATCATGTGAATGACCGTATCAGAGTGAGTTCCATTCCATTTCAGTTATGTGACGTGTCCATAATACATTTTAATCAACAATAAATTTTAGTTTACGAAAAGCAACCGTTTCTTTTCGATTTCAAATTAAACTTCAATTTTCTTTCTTTCTTTCTGCTTCTCTTTTCTTTTTTTCTTCTTCTTTACGTTGAGTGGCCTCTAAAACAAAAAAGCAAAAAACGGATGAAGATAAGATATAGCCACAATAAAAGGAATACCATACGCAAACAAACAATCACAACCCATAAAACACATAGCTCTGCAACTTTTTAATTCATTTTTATTAACAAAACCTTTTTTGAGAACTAAAAGAAAACTTTTTTTCTAACATAACCTTCTTTTGAACAAATAAAATAAATAGAGGTATGTCTATCTTATTGCACGTTACAATCTCAACCATGCATGCCACGAGTCAGTTGCGTGCTACGACGTATCATCCTTTACATGCAATATATAAAGCATCGCATATGAAACAACGTTTGCTCACACTCAATTAGATACAAAAAAAAAACAATGGCGGAGGATCAAGCAACGGCGGCGATGGAAACATCAGCGGTGGAGAAGCAACCGGAGATGACAGTGGCTGAAGCACCGACAGTGACAATAACAAAAAGGATGATGGTTGCTATAGACGAGAGTGATTCGAGCTTCTATGCTCTTCAATGGGTCATTGACCATTTCTCTAACCTCTTGATGACCACTGAGGCGGCTGAAGCAGAAGGTGGCTTGCTCACGGTGGTTCATGTCCAGTCTCTGTCCCATCACTTTGCTGCTTTTCCGGCTGGACCCGGCGGCGCAACAGGTCCGGTCCATTGAGATATCTCTAACAATTAAAAATGTCTCCCAACATTAAATTAAATATTTTTTGCTGACATATAAGTATATATCTACACGTAAATGAATAACCTATTCGATTTTAGTTTCTTACGTTAGTCCAAAAATATTAAATTTATTATAATTATGTATAAGAGAAAACAACATTACTTCATATTTTATTTAATGTTATGATGAATAACTTGGTTCTGTGAACGGATGTAAAAGCAGCAGTCTATGCATCTTCGTCGATGATAGAGTCAGTGAAAAAGGCACAACAGGAGGCCTCTGCAGCACTTCTCTCGCGTGCACTCCAAATGTGCCGAGCCAAGCAGGTTACACACATAATCACTTTTCATACTCATAATTATATTAATCTGCTTGTAACTTATAAGGCTAAGTCTATAAACATAACTATGGTAGAGATTCAAACGGGTTTCTATGTTATCCATATTCATATCATATGTAATAATACATCAGGATTATAGCTAAATAGTGTCATGTATACAGATACGTACCGAAACTTTGGTGCTTGAAGGCGACGCAAAGGACATGATTTGCCAGGCAGTGGAGCAAATGCACGTTGATCTTCTCGTTGTGGGCAGCCGTGGCCTTGGCAAGATCAGAAGGTATAGAACCTTTTATTTTCACTTCTTTTTTTTGTTACTTTATTTCAAATCGTTGTCAAAATTTGTAACCGCTGTTTCAATTTTTTTCCGTATTGGAAGAGCGTTTATTGGGAGCGTTAGCGATTACTGTGCTCATCATGCCAACTGTCCCATCCTTATTGTTAAGCCACCAAAGGAGATAAACTAATGAAGTGACAGGTTCTACATGTTTGGTGTGATCATATCTTTATGAATTGTGTGTATACGTCTATTGTTGAATTGTTATGTCAATTACGTGTGATTTGTGTGCAATGTAAACAAACCAATATAACTTTTAGTACGTGCAATGATTTGTGTGAAACTGATGTTACGTTCCTCCTTGTAACCGTATCGAAATCAATAGAAGTGTCCAAAATGTGTATCTATTCAAAGCAGTTCAGACAAAATAAAATTCAGAAGAACAAAACATTTGAAACAGCACTCAAATCTAAGTTGAAAACATAGAATAAAATTGATTTGATAAGATTATAACCCTCAGTGCAAAAGGAAACTCCTTAACGATTAGCCTTGGCAACTCTTTCAATCTCATCCTTCTTTTTGATGGCATAGCTGCAAGAGTTTTAGATATAATAATTAGAGCTTTGACTGATAACAAAAACAAGAAACCCTTTTCAAGAGATCGTGTTTACCTGTTGGAAGAGCCCTTGGCTGCGTTGATCAATTCATCAGCAAGACACTCAGCAATAGTCTTAATATTTCTGAAAGCAGCCTCACGAGCACCGGTGGTAAGCAAGAAGATAGCTTGGTTAACACGTCTCAGAGGAGAGATATCAACGGCTTGTCTTCTGACAACACCAGCAGATCCAATTCTAGTAGCATCTTCACGAGGACCACTGGTTCAACCAACAAAACAAAACAATCATGAGGAACTGAGATAATAAGACAAAACAAACACGCTAAGCTTTGTAATCTTGTTACCTGTTAACAATGGCATCAATGATGACCTGGATTGGGTTGGCGTCAGTCAAGAGGTGGATGATTTCCATGGCGTGCTTGATGATCCTCACTGCCATCAATTTCTTTCCGTTGTTTCTTCCGTGCATCATGAGAGAGTTTGTAAGCCTCTCAACAATGGGGCATTGAGCTTTTCTGAATCTCTTTACAGAGTATCTTCCGGCGGTGTGGGGGACGAAGGTAGCGTGTTTAGCTGCCTGAACTCCAATGTAGTCAACAAGACTGATATCTGTGACCTACATCATATTAAAAATAACAAAAACTTACTTTACAACACTCGAGTCTTGATGACACAAAAATTGACCCTTCATTGAATACACAGAACAAAATTTTCAAAACCAAAATGAAGATAGCAGAAGTTAATGTAACTCAAGCAAAGGTACTGAGCACAATGAGAAGAGTCTTAACACCCAAACAAAAGTGTTACCACTACAACTAGAGCAAAAGACTATACCGAAAAAGCAATGCAAGCTAGAACTCTTAAGGTATAAAGAATGTATTATGAACTCTAAGCTAATGAAATTACTACAGTATAACCTCTTTAAATTAATATAGACTAAAAATCTCTACAAAATAATATAATTTTATGGACAAATCTCTTAAATAACCCTCTTTAAGTTTTTATCACAAAGATAGAGCTCAAAAATTAAAATGACCAAGCACAGTTTATTTTGAAGATTTTAAGTTTTTTATATTTTTAAAAATTTGAAACCCTATAACCAAAACCCCACTCTTCAACTCTAAACAAAAAAGTCTAGGATTAGTTAACCCAAAGAGTATAAATGTATATTTAATAAAACATTTAAGTGCTATTTTGGTCATTGTAATTGTTAAGGTTTATATTTGTGACAAAAACTTTTTTAGGTCTATTCTAGTCCTTTTCTCTACTTTTATAGTCACAAATTGAGTTTTTGGTTCAATTAGTATATTAATACTATAAATTAATAAAAATTTATAGTTTTAGTGTAATTCCAACATTATTAATTTATAGAGGTTTAACTGTATGATATAATCATAGCTGATAGCAAAAAAAGAAAAAAGTTACTTAACAAATCATGAAACAAAAATGACCACTTCACTGAACACAAAATAACAAATTTTCAATCAGAAGTTGAAGTAACTCAAACTAAGCTACAGAGCTCAATGAGAAGAATCTCTAAAGTGTTACAAGAGAACAAAGCTATACAAAGCAATGACAAAAAAATATAACTCTAAAGTATGAAGATAGTCTTATGATCCTGCTGCCACTGTGATTATAAGTATGATATGATCCTTAACTTATACACTGAAGCTAATGTAAATGTGATAATCGCACAAACCTAAAAAGAGAGTTATGAACTATTAAAAGGAGAAGAGTGAAGCGTAAGGTACCGAAACGTCGTCATAGGTCCAGCGGTTGAAGAGCTTGACCTCGTTGGTGAGCTGCTGCTGAATCTCAGCGTCGATTTCCACGGCGGCGGCCATAGCTGTGAAGGAAACAGAGTGTGAGTCGAATTTACATATACGAGAAGTGATGGAGAGTTTGAGAAAAAACAATCACCTGAAATCGTTAAGCGTCGCGCGGGAGAGAGAGACGGCGGAGAGTGAGAGAACAAAAAAATCTTCAAGAGGACGGATTAAAAACTTTAGCTGCGGTTTATATACTACAGCTGGAAATTAGGGTTTTGTTTATCAGAGTAGTGAACCGGTTTAGTTAATCTCTTCCACGGTTTGTTTCTGGTTAACTTGCATGACTATTCCTTGTCTCTCTCCTATTCTCTTCACCAGTTTGAGCCTTTATTTCGCTTTTCTTTAAACATTCTCTCCGTCTAAAACTTTCTTTACAACTTCTTACACTATTGAATCGTCTGCTTGGCCCAATGAACCAGCTGTTTCTCGTATTCCTCTGACCTCAGTTTCTTATAAACCTTTCGTTTCTGGTTTCTGTATATTAAAAGAAAGTGATGTTTGTTCGGTAAAAACTGAAATGCTTCCTTCACGTTCATTTAACTTCGTTTTAGTCGTATTTAAAAGAAGAAAAAAAACCTTCAAAATTGTATTCTACAATTTAAACATGTAGAGTGTCTCAACTTTTGCGGCCTCGTTCAATGGTTGATTCTCAAAATTATAGTATTTTACAAAACTTGGTGCTTCCGTTACAAACAATATCACTCTCAGGCCAAGGTACTGTCTGCATACTCCATTGCCCTTTGCTTCACGTACTCCACTCTCTCCTCGTCACCACCAGCTTTCTCATATTCCAAAAACTTCTTAAATAAAAACTGCGAACACAAAAAGCACAAAAGGGTTAACAAAAATCTTCATAAAAAGTATATTTTCTGGCAGCTTACCTTCATCTTCTTAGGAGGCAAGCTCAAGCTAATGGCTCTCTCGAACAACGATCTAATCACATCAACTTCTCCCAACCGGATCTCCTGTACACCAATCAAAAATTCACGTTAAAGATACCACAACGATGGCAAATGAAACAGAAGTTTTGAAGAAGCGTTAATATAACGAACCTGGTCAAGATAAACACTCCACAAGTCTGTTCTTTTCGGGTACTCTCTAAGAACGCCTTCAAACAGTGACCTCCCTCTGTCTGCAACTCCGCATTTGAACTCAAGAATAGCTGTCTGTGAGATGAATTTAATGTGCTTATGGCGTGGAAGACATAGCAAGGCACGGTTCACGACCGACTGAATGTTTTCCTCGTCTTGCTTTAGATAACTTTGTATTTTCCGTAACCAAACCTAACCAAGCACAAATCCGGTTGGTTAAAAAGAGTGAAGAACGAACCCTTACTAAAAGAAGAGAAAAAATCAGACATTAATGTACCTTGCAGGATTGCTTGAACTTCTTGATCATCTCATCAAGTAGCTTATCAGCCAATTTATATTGCTCTGTTCTCTCGTATACGCCCAAGAGGGCATTGTAAACTTTCTTTGGGTCGCAGTATTGACGCGCTCTTTCAAAAACTTTCTTTACAGCTTCCTGGATACGAGAAACAAACACCAGAGTAAGAAAGTAAGTAAGATAAAAAAAAAAGCTTTGGCTGGAGTTATGTCTACCTCTGGAGGACTTCCATGTTCATTTTCCAAGTTGAAGTAAGCAACCCATATGTTTAACTTCTCTTCTTCTTCACGAATATTTATAGTCCTCAAGGCCCTTCAGAAGAGAAACAATTATACGTAAACATAAATGCTTTACTAAGCAGGTATTAGATCTAGGTGTTACATTATTTAATATTAATATAGATCCCAACAAATAATTTCTGCTCTCCACCCGTACCCCTTTCATTGCATTTTTCTTTTTCTTAAATGATGTACATAGAAGTTAGGAAAATTACCTCTCAGCAATGGACCTGGCTTTCTCAATATCAGCCAAACTGAGCATGAACGCCATATACTTAATCCAGACAAAGCTGCTGTTTGGAGAGCTTCTAACCATTTTCTCAAATTCATCAGCACTCTCAGGAGCGTGATTCTCCAGCAATCTTCCTTCAGCAGCTTGTATCTTTTTTTCTCTACAAAAGAAAATGTTATCAACACAGGTTAAAACCATATATATAGCATCGTAGCTTTCGAATTAAGAATTAAAGAAATAGCCAACCTTTCCTCCTTGTCTTTTTGCTTTTCCCTTCTCTTGCTCTTTTCATCTTTATCGTCTCCCTTTAGTTTCTGATTTTGATTGTTGTCAAATTCTGCCTCCTCAGTGTCGCCAAGGTCAATTTCAACTGGAAGGAAAGAAGCCTTTGCCCTTGACTCAATTTGGGCAAGAGCCAGAGAAGTTCCACTGTTTGTTTCCTGGAACCCAAAATCATTAATTGGATCACATTCCATGCTGGCTTCATCAGTGTTTTCTTCAGAACGTGGCTCTGCCTTGTCATCATCACCGTTCATAAGATATGAACTCTTCATCCCAAGCGATATACGTCGCTTTTCCTCGTCCAACTAAAGGGAAACACAAAAAAGAAAAGAAACAACAGTAATATTCCTTAGATAGATCAATGGCATCTTAAAATATGTTAATGTTAATCATAGAAAAGATACGGTCAAGTTAGTTCATAGATTATATTTAATGGGTTCTTAGCATAAGGTTAGAAGGATCAGTGGTTGTCAAGTATAATACGACACAGTACTAAGTCTAATTCTTAATGACAAAGGACTACATACCTTTAAAATCTTTGCCCTGACGGTTTCCCCAGCTTCATATCTGACATGTATATCCTCGATATGATCATCAGAAAGCTGTGATTTATGACACAATCCAACCTACCACAAAACAAGAAAAATATAATTAAATATGGCAAGTCTGGTTACTCCCTACGAACGATAAGGCAAGCAGCATACTGTTAAACGCAACACAAACTAGATCTTTACCATGCTCGTTTGACCTATTTCAATAAACAAGCCATAGGCCTCCACACGTTTGATTCTCCCGGAAATTATGTCTCCAACATAGAATTGCTTCAAGTCATAAGATTCAGATTTTGATGGCCCACCAGCTTTTTCTTTCTTCAAAGTGATTTCTACCCTCTTTGATAACGGCTCCACATTTAACACCCTAAATTCAAATTTGTTAGAGCAGAATGTACTGTATTACAGAATATCTGTTTGAATGGAAATCTGTGTTACCTGCCAGTTACAAGTTTTCCTACTGGAAATTCATTTTCCGGATCCTTAACAAAAGTATCAGATAAATTTGACAATAGAACTTTTGCGTCAAGTGTTCTTGAAAGCATGATAAAACAACCTTTGGACATCGTATTCTTGACATACCCCTGTAAAAGTTTGAATTAACATAAGTTCTACCACAAGGAAAGCGATTGAGTTGCTGAATCATGTGATTATTAAGGCAAAAGTACCTCGATTCCCATATCAGGGGAAAGATCTTCAATTCTTTCAACACGCTTGCAAACACCGACACTGCAAATCATCATCAAGTTAATAGGTCAAGGCTGAGAGAAAGGCTGATGATGAGCTTACAAGCATTTTATTTGACTCTTAAAATCTTAAATCCATCTTGAAAGCAAAGCAGGCAGTAATGCTTGTTATAGGCAGAAGACAAACTTACTTATTACAGGAAGCTTCTGAGAGATTGTCAGAACTCATGCCATCTAGTGATGACCGTAATGACAGTTCAATTTGCAAAGTCCCTTTACTAGAATTGCTGATTTCCAAGACCTTACATTTGACAAATTGGCCTTCATGAAGACCATCTAATGGGTTGGAGACCCATGAATCATTGATTTCAGTAAAGTGAACTCTCCCAAACACATAAGGGCCTATTTGCACACGAAGTCCGCCAACACCAGGAAGTATCTTAGAAATTCTTCCACCCAAAATATCTCCTTCATGAATGAATAGAGTAGCATCATCAACACGAATGGTACTGTCTAGACTATCCGTTTTAGGCCCTCCATCATTAGCAATGCTTTTCTGGATATTCAGTAGTGGACGCTGAACCAACCGTAATGTTTTCTTCTCTTTATTGTACGTCAACACATAGCCTGAAACAGCTTTACCAATGGGAAAGCGCCCCTCGAACTCTTCAAGTTCACGTGCTTCGCTTGCAGTGTCTAGAATAAATATGCGTGCCGTCACATTGCGAGATATTGCCAACCAAACCCATTCTTTATCCACTTTGTAGACATATCCGCAGACACGCTCTCCAGAAACAAACTCAAGTTGCTCCCTCACTTCAGTCAGCTCACCAGAGTCTAATTGATATTGCAACATAAAAAGATATGGAGACTATGTAAGATACACACAAAGCATACTTCTGAGTCTGACATATACACAAAAAGCACACGGATTTCATCACTTTTGATCTTAGTCTATAACTATTGAACTAATTGAAAATAATTTCGCAATTTCCTGGAAGATTTAGACTAGGTAAAAAGAACTCTTTACAGTTTAAAAACTAAAAGCATGCGACTGTTCTGTAATATATATTCCCAAATGTGAGTCAATAGGCCAGAGGTTGGTGAAAAAATTTCAATTCTCTTGAGTTACCTCTAAGTATTGCAGGCTTTACAGAAAGCTCCCAAAGTTGACTCTTTTTATTATCCGTGTGACAGGGCTTTGCAACAACCCTTGCAGAAACTGATTGCCCGACTCTGAATTTGGTAAAAGGTTCTTCACTTGTACCAACATCATTCACCTATCCAACCAAGAGTTGAGTCGTATACGCAATTTTTTTGCCATCCAATATTGAATAATGAAACATTAATATCTAAAATGATGATGGTAACATAAGAAAAGTCACCTCCGTTATGTGGATTCTTCCTCGGAAACTTTGGCCAAAGTTTACTCTTACTTCAAAGGGCTTTATTTCAGTAATCTGAGAAAGCAAAAGATGTTAGTCTGACACAGTAGAAGTTATGGTGATATAGCTACTTGAGAATTCCCGTTTCCAACCTACATTTTCTATTTCAGTTCTTTCTTTGTTCTTTATGATTGTTTTGTTTTCTCTTTTAAATA